ACCTGCAGCGGCTGCACCACCGCTTGCCAGGGGGCCCTCGCCAGTCGCAGGAGAGCTTCACCGCTGGCTGCGCCGTCGCCGCCTTCGGCGCAGGGCGGTTCGGCTTGGCCACGCGGTGCGTGGTGTCCCTGCCGTCCATGGCGCCGCCCACCGCCGAGACCCACATGCCGACGCCATCGACCAGCTTGTCCGCCGTGTTGAGGCGACGTCGATCAGCGTGCCGATTGCGTCCAGCAGCCGCTGCCGAATTCGCAGCCCTGTCGGCGTAGCGGTTGCCCAGCCAGTCCCTGTACGTGATCTTGCCGTGGTCGATGGCCCTGATGGCCTGGTGAACGGGCACCTTCCTGACCAGCAGCCCGTCGCACCCCAGGCCATCGAACTCGCCCAGCAGCCTCCAGACCTCTCTCCAGAGGTGGGCCCACGCCGCGCCATGCGCGTTGGTGCGCCTGGGCCCGAGCTCCGGGAGGCCGCGGCACACGAAGCCGCTGTCCACGATCACGGTGACGGGCGGCATCGCGAACCTGAGGACCATGATGAGCGCCATGAGCTCACCCCCGTTGATGTCCACGTGCGGCTCGCACAACATGCCCGGCGCCCCGCGCAGGAAGATGTCCGCGTCCTGCTCGAGCGCGACGACAGCCCAGGCCACGCTGGCATACCGCTCGTAGTCGCCCTGGGACTGCGAGCCGTCGAGGAACAGCTCGCCTGGCGGGAAGTACACGTCGCACCCGCCCAGCCAGCAGATGTGGGGCGATGGGCTGGGCTTCACAATCCCCGACGGGGCTGGCCACAGCACGCACTGCATTAGGCACTTCACCTCGGGCAGGTCGGCCTTCTCCAGCAGCACGCTCACCTTGTCGGGCAGGCGCAGCTCGGGCGGCCATCCGGCGCAGCCGCAGTGCCCGTGGAGGAGGGTGCCGACCTCGCCGCACAGCAAGCACGAGTCGTCCACGGCCATGCCCTGCTCGCACTTGCGGCTCTGACTCCACTGCCCGTCGGCCACCACCGAGGCGAGGTACCCGCGCTTCTTGGGTGTCAGCCTGAGCGTAGACTGCTTGCAAACTTCCATGGGATTCGGCCCATGATCCATCCGCACCGTTGGGACATCCTCAGTACGTGGCGACGCTGACCCAGGCCCAGCGGGTTCTGACACTCTGCCAGCTCTCGACTTACCTCCGCGAGGTCACCGCGCACGAGTGAGTATCCAGCCCACCTCGCTGAGGCCCAGCTTCGCCGCAAACCTGGGGCCCCAGCTTCCCCGCGACCTCCTCCGAAGCGGTCGCGGTCCTGCTGGGCCTGCCTCTCGTGCGCGACTCATCCGAAGGCGGCCTCGCGCCAGACGGTGCGGTTGCCTGCTCTCCACTCGGCAACGACGACCGCTGGGCAGCGGGTTCTGACGCGAGGCACAAGACACGAAACCCTTGGTCTGGCAAGGTCGACCTACTAATCCGGGCCGCCTGTAACCAGTGCGGAGCCACCTTCATCAAGAGGAACTACGACGCGCACCTGGGGAAACACCACAAGAGCGGAACGCGCCCTGCGAGACGGGCATCGGGAACGATTTGCTTGACATGCAACCACCAGCACCACGCCTACGCAAGACTCGTCAAGCACCCCCAGGCGACACCACTGTGCGCAATGCCACGGATCACGCGACACCATCGTGCGGGGACGACCATCCCCATCTAGGGGGGTAAATCGGCCAGTGGGGTCCAGGACACGCCTATGGGGATGCGGGCCGGTTGAACGACACCGCGAGGAGCAGTAGCAGGGTACGCATCAGCCGCAGGATGACGAGGAAGAGGAGAAGGGAGTAGGAGGAGTAGGAGGAGGAGGAGGAGGAGGAGGAGGAGGAGGAGGAGGAGGAGGATCGAGGAGAAGGATCGAGGAGGATCGAGGAGGAAGAGGAGGGAGAGAGGAGGGTCATCGAGGAGGAGGCGGAGAAGGAGGAGGAGGAAGAGGAGGAAGAGGAGGAGGAGGAGGAGGAGGATCGAGGAGGATCGAGGAGGAAGAGGAGGAGGAGGGGAGAGGAGGAGGATGGAGGAGGCGGAGGAGGATAATCCAGGATAATAATCAAGGAGGATGATCGAGGAGGAGGAGGAGGAGAGGAAGAGGAGGAGGAGGAGAAGGAGGAGGAGGAGGGGGGGGGGAGGACGGGGGAGGAGGAGGAGGAGGGGGGAGGAGGAGGAGGAGGAGGAGGAGGAGGAGGAGGAGGAGGAGGAGGAGGAGGAGGAGGAGGAGGAGGAGGAGGAGGAGGAGGAGGAGGAGGAGGAGGAGGAGGAGGAGGAGGAGGAGGACGAGGAGGAGGAGGAGGACGAGGAGGAGGAGGAGGAGGAGGAGATGGAGGAGGAGGAGGAGGAGGGGGGCGGAGGAGGAGGAGGAGGAGGAGGAGGAGGAGGAAAAGAAAGAAGGAGAGGAACAGGGGCCGTGAGGATGAGCCTGTCCCTCGGGCAAGGCCGCAGGGTCGCCCAGGCACGCGGGCGCCGCTGGCGGCCCTCTCCTGCTCTCCGAATGCTCGCCGCTCGTGACTGAGACGATGTCGCCGAGGGCGAACGCCTCCTCGTCAGGGGGAGGAGGAGGATCGAGGAGGAGGCGAAGGCGTGCCGAGGAGGAGGAGGGGGAGGATCGAGGAATATGATCGAGGAGGATCGAGGAGGAGGAGGAGGAGGAGGAGGAGGAAGAGAGGAGGATAATCGAGGAGGAGGCGGAGAAAGAGGAGGAGGATGAGGAGGAGGAGGAGGAGGAGGAGGCGAGGGGGCGAGTAGGAGGAGGAGGGGGTAGGGAAAAGGAGGAGGAGGAGGAGAAGAAGGAGGATCGCACGCCACTGAGGAGAAGAGAAACACAGAAAGAGAGTTCGCACCAAAAACCCAAGCGGGGTGCATCGGAGAGGCGCTTTGTCACCGCGGGTGGCGTTGACAGGCCACCCGCGGGCCTGCGACAGGACCCCACCCCTTGGAAAATACATTGTCCTCCTTTGCGGGATCGATCTCTTCGACCTGCTTTTTCTGCCGAAGCTTTACACCGAAAGCTGCGGGCCTCGTCCTCGTTAAGGCCAAACGCCTGGAAGCAATCCGCAAGGCGCAAATTGCGCCTCGCTCGACCACTCGGAGCGGCCACGCTCCGCTCTTCTCCTGGCCGAGCGCCTGGTTCGACAAGCGCCCCCGAGAACAGCTCCCGAGCCCGATCACCAGGAGACAACCAGGGGCCCAGCCTATGAGGGCCGTTTGGGCGCTAGCCCCTGAAAGACGCACGCTCGTTCTTCCTCCCAGGGTCCACAGGGGCAGCTTGGAACCCCTGGCAGGTGGACCGAAGGCCTCGGGCCCCAGGGGAAATGGCCGCACACGCTCCACGGGAGGAGCACAACAGAAGCGGGGCGTGACTCTCGGAGAGCACTGGGGACTCCAGGAGATGGTGTCCCCCATGGGCCCAAGGGGCCTGATCGGCGTCAGCCGCCAGCAGGACCAGCTCGGGCGCCAGGGGCTCAAGGGGGGGCCACGGAGGGGCTCTCTGGGCGCGGAGCGGGAGCAGCAGCAGCAGCAGCAGCAGCAGCAGCAGCAGCGGCAGCGGCAGCGGCAGCGGCAGCGGCAGCGGCAGCAGCCACCTCGACCTCCTCGCCTCCTCCATGGTCCTCCCCCCGATCAGGGTCCCCCTCCAGGAAAACCAGCGTGCGCCCCTAGGTACCGATGTTGTCGCAGCTGTCTTCTTCTGAGTACACGTCCTCGGCACGAGTGGTGAACTGTATGAGCAAGTGGGCCAACAAGATTATACCGTTTGCCAGCAACGTGTACGATGGGCCGTGACGGCCAAGAGGCGCATCGGCTTTGGCTGGTCGGTCGGCCTGAGTGTTGCCCGTTCTCTTAAAATCAGAGATCCGTCCCTCGCGGTTTTCTACCTGAGTCGAGTGGGCCAAAAGGAGGAGGAAGAGGAGGACGAGGGAGCGTGAGAAAGTGTGAAGAAGTGGAGCAAGAGGAGAAAGAAGGGAGGGAGGAGGATGAGGAGGGGATGGAGGAGGAGATGGAGGGGGCACTTGGCAGAAAGAGGGGAAACATGAGACAGCTGGCGCGTCCGTGCCGCCCCTCGCCGCGAGAAGAGCACGGCGCAGGGCGGCTGCCAAACTGTAGGCCTCCCGAAGGTGCGATAGCCCCACCCTGAGACGGAGCCGGGACGAGGAGAGACTCTGGTGAGGATCAATATTGAAGGGTGCAAGAACGCCCCTGCCCTGGGTTACAAGCGCGTGGTCCGTGAACCTCCTGGGGGCTCCCAAAGGCCAGAGAGCCGCCAGGACGCCGCGCGACACGCGCGATGTGCAGGGTCTACCCTGTCAGCCCACAGGAGGCTCAGCGCACAGCGCCTCGTAAACCAGGGTTAGGGGCGTTTCTAACGCCCTTGAACATCGGGAATCTCTGAGATCCGGCGGGCCTGGAGGATGTCTCGGGCGCCACGCCCTCCCCAGACACAACCCCTCCTGGCGGCGCGCGTCAGGGGGCAGGCGGAGGGGCGGCGGCTTCTTAGGAGGAGGCTGCTTCTCAGAAGGCGCGGGCCATACATCTAAAAAAAAAGCGCGCGCCCTCCAAGAAGCAGGGCTGCTCACAAGGAGCCTTCACCCCTCCCCCCTGCCCCCCTCTGCTCGTGGCTGACCCTCTACCAGAGGCCTCAAATGAGGTCCGAGTACATGGGGTCGAAGGATCGCGCCGCGTCGCACGATGCATCGGCGATGCATCGGCGACGTCGACGTGGAGTAAGTCGGGCTCCACATCGAGCCGCATCGCCGATGCATCGGCGATGCAGCGCGATCCTCCGACCCCATCTACTCTGACCCCATGAGGGAGACGTCGAAACAAGGCGCATGGCTGCTGCCATCTTTGGCCTTCCGAAAATGATAACCCCCACCCCCTCTCCTTGTGAAACATCATGACGGGGACTGCTAGACGACTTTCGGCCCATGGCGGCCCTCACTGGACCGCAGGACTTTGAAAAAACGACTCGGCCTGTGAAAAAGCCAGTCCCGAGGAAGGGGTCAAGGCCTCTAGTGGTCGACGGTGCGGAGAGATCACTCACGACGTCGGATGTCTGGGCTCCTCGCCCCTGGGGGCCCCATCCAGGCCCCGGGACCGTGAATAGCAGTTTTACATCAGACCTGGGTGATGATACTTGCATGGCATGTCGCCCGCCCCACCCCCTCCTGCCCCTCCCCCCCTCGTCGCCGCCCTCTCCAGCAGCGCTGGGCCGAGAAGGCATGCCCCGACTTGCGTGAAGTCCAACATTTCCTTCGGGGCCTCGCCACGCTCCCCCCCTCCACGCAAGCACAGCCAAGTCGCAAGATAGGGATGCAGGGGCATCGGAGGGACACGATGGCATTTTTGAACTGGGCTGGCCGGCGAGAGTTGCCCAGAATGGGCCGAAGGGACAAGGATGCGAAGGGTAGCCTTGTAAAGTTGCTCATCTGCGACTCCCGGCTGTGAACTTGCTGGGGGTCTACACCAAAACGGCGCGCCAACAGCGGCTCGGGGTGAAAGGCGGCCTCTGGCAATGGGGTACAGACCCGCGGGAAGCCAATTTGTGGAACAAAGGGCAAACAACAAACAAAAAAGACAGACATGGGACGAGCGGAGCTCCTATGGGGCCACGAAACGTGTGAGGGGTGGGCCGACATGAGTGGCGGGGACGCATGCGGACTGTGCCACGGGGACCCTCGGCGGAGCTCCTATGGGGCCACGAGACGTAAGAGGGGTGTGCCGAAATGAGTGGCGGGGACGCATGCGGACTGTGCCAGTGGGACCTTCGGCGGAGCTCCGATGGGGCCACGAAGTGTGTGAGGGGTGTGCCGAAATGAGCGGCGGGGGCGCATGCGGACTGTGCCACTGGGACCATCGGCGGAGCCCCTATGGGGCCACGAAGCGCTGTACTGGGTGAGGGAGACGCATGCGGACTGCGCCACGAAGACCTTCGGTGGCGCTCCCCGTGGGGCCACGAAACGCTGTACTAGGGGGGGAGACGCATGCCAACCGCGCCATTGGGACCTTCGGTGGAGCTCCCTTTGGGGCAACGAAACGTGTGATGATGTTGATGATGCTGATGTTGATGTTGATGATGATGATGACGACGATGTCGATGATGGCGATGATGATGCTGATGATGATGGTGATGATGATGATGAAGATGATGATGATGATGATGATGATGATGATGATGATATGATGATGATGACGTGGACGACTCCGTGGCCAGATGATTCTTTTTGCGCAAGAGGGCGCCAGGCGAGGACACGAACTCTGATGCCGCAGGGGCCAGCACCAGGCCAAAGAAACATTCTTGAGTACGGAGAAAAGGGGGGGAGGGAGAGACTTGAGAATGGAAGCGCGGCCCGAAAGAGAGCCACACATAGCCGCGGGCAGCATAATGTGGACGACTCCGTGGCCAGATGATTCTTTTTGTGCAAGAGGGCGCCAGGCGAGGACACGAACTCTGATGCCGCAGGGGCCAGCACCAGGTACTACGGCTAGTCCAAGACACTGGCTGAAAGCAGCAAAACTTAAATGAATTCTCGCACACATTTGATTCGTCGGGAGACGTATCGTAGGCTATCGACACTGTTGGCCATCACTTCACATGCGAATCGTAAGATACAGGCAGGAGGGTGGCGCGCAGCGCTGCGCAACTGACGGTCTAACGATGGGATGCCTAACTCGCCGGGATGTCGTTTTCGAGTGCGACGGCACGGCGAGGCAACAGGTGAACAGGTCAGGGATAGCCGATCAATATCTTTCACGCTCCAGCTTACAAGTCGAATTCTGTTTTTGACACGGCCAGCGGACATGCATGGGTCGAAAACTGTCGAGGACGAACTCTGGTTCGCAAGAGTGGTGCACGCACTGCCGCCCCATATAAAAGACGCGCCGGGATGGCACAATATGGCGGGCACTTTCTTATAACAGCATTCAGACAGGACGCGCAAGTACTGATCCTGAAAGAGGTTGGCGATGCGAACAGATCGAGCTTTAAAGTTGGTCAAGGTCGGGAGGCCGCGAGGATACAGCTTAGAACGCACAGCAGGCGACTGACGAAGCCAGGTGGCGGTGTCGGGTTCCACCCACGCGCACGAGAGGCAGCTAGAACGAATCCAGCCTAAAACGCGCCGCATGACTGCGGGATCGGTGATGTCGTCGCCTGCGTGGCGACTCGGGTCGAGGTGCACGACGCCGAAGCCCAACCGCTGCAAGGCGCGGGCCGCACCACCGTCGCTGCCGAGCACCAGCGCAGGGCAGAACCTGCTTCGCGTAGAAGCCCGCCTGGCAGAGCGCCACAGGCGCGTCAGGCGAAGGCCCACCGCGCAGTGATCTGCGGGGGCGGAGGCCTGACAGCAGGCGGCGTCGGCGTCACGGCCAGCGGCACCTGCAGCGGGAAGACGCCCGCGGCCGTGGTCTGGATGATGAGGTCGTTCATCTGCCTGTCCACCTGCTCTCCGAATTCGACGATGTTAGGGCCTAGGTTGGCGATCCGCTGCTGCGTGCGGGCCCGCTTCGCGTAGCGGAGGAGGCTCTGGTCCGTCCTCCAGCGGC